CTCAACACAAACCATGCAGGCCAGACGGGAATGGCAAGAAATATTCAAGGTGATGAATAGCAAGAACCTACAGCCAAAGATAATCTATCCAGCAAAGCTATCACTCAGATTCGAAGGTCAGATAAAGAGCTTCACTAATAAATAAAAGCTAAAGGAGTTCATCACCACCAAAACAGAATTATATGAATTGCTGAAGGGGGTTCTTTCAGAAGAGAAAGTAAATAAAGATAAAAATTATGAACAACAAATACGTAACTATCAACAAGTGAATCTAAAAACCAAGGAAACTAAAAAAAAAAAATCTGAGGAACAATATTAACTGTTGAATATAATAGAATCAGAGGTATGGAAGGGGAGTGAACTGTTTATTCTTGGGGAAAAGGGGAGAGGGGGATGTGGGAAGAGACTGAACATAAACTGTGCACCTATGGATGAGGACAATGGGGGGTGGGGAAAGGGCAGAGAGTGGGGTGAGAAGGGGGTGAAAGGAACATTTGTAATAATATGAACAATAAAAATTTATTTAAAAAAATAAAAATAAATAAAAATAAATAAAAAAAAGAAAACAAACAAAAAAACACACAGCCATTCTAATGAGTACTATCTCAATATCTTGAGATTTTGGCTATAAGGTTCTCCCTCCTCCCAACTGGTGGGTGGAGTTATGACATTACTGGTATCTATCACAGAGACATCTCCAAGACATTGAGCCACCAATCAGTGAGTGCCAAAGTGTCCTGGAGCCCACCCCTTCCTGTTCTGCCCTGGGTCCAACCCCCTCCTGTTCCTCCCCTTAAAAGGACCTCCAGACGAGCCATTGCTGCTGATCCTCCATGTCCAGGAGGCAGCTTGGCAAGGTCCATTCCCCCTTCAATTCTGATTTCTCTAACTCCGTAATGAGTCCCACTTATTACTGGGGAATAAACTTTACTTTAAAATATTTTGCTGGCCAGTTTCCTGTGCCTCAAACCTTACACCGGCAATTGTTGATGTTTGGTTCAAATAAACTCACAAAAATTCTTCACAGGTTTGAATGTGTCTTACATGAACAGTTTCCAATATCCACTCAGAATGTACATATCGTGTCAGCTTGTTCATTCTCAGTGTGTGAATATGCTGCAATTTATTTATCCATTCTTTGGTCAATGGGCACTTGGATAGTTTCCATATTTTGGCTACTAATCATAGTGCTGCTGTGAAGATCTTTGCACCTGTCTTTGGTTAAGGACTGGGATTTATGGGTTATGGGAAATACATATGTGCAGCACTGGTAGATTCTGCCATTTTTCCAATGTGACTAACAAATTATCAACAACCTGAGAGTTCTGCTTCCTTCATGGCCTCACTAACACTTGGCATTCTCAGCCTTTTTTCATTGCAGTCAATCTTTTGGGTGAATAGTGCTCCCTCATTGTGGTTTAAATGAGCACTTAATTAGAACTTCTCCCTTTAAGTTGAAAACCTTTTCAATATATTTACTGACCATTTGGATATCATGTTTTGTGATGTGTTCAAACTTTGTTTTCTGCCTATTTTTAAGCTGAGTTGTTCTTTTTTTTATTGATTAGTGAAAGTTCTTTACATATTCTGAATATTGAAAGATGAAACAGAGCGGGGGCCGGAGACTGGGATCAGGACACAGGCTTTATTGGAGAGAAGAGTACCACTGCTGGCTGCTTCCAGAGGAGAAAGAGAGGAAAGAGAGAGAGGACTGGGGTATAGGCGCCCTTTAAGGGGAGGAAAGGGGACAGGGCTTAGGGCACTCAGCACAACCTGATTGGTGGTTTCATGTACTAAGGCATATGATTAGGGACCTAGGGACTTAGGAATCGGGGGCTTAGGGTATTTGGCAGGTGCTAATTGTTGGTTCAGTGCTCAGAAATGTCAGGCTGCAGGTGGAGTTTTCATCATACTCTGTCCATCAGTTGGATGAAGGGAGGATCTATCAAATATAAATTATTTTTTTCAGATATATGTGTTTTTCCTCACTTTGGTTGCTTTTTACCCTATCAATGATGTCTTATGATAAACAGTTCTTAATTTTAATACTTTGCAGTTTATCAAATCATGCTTCCCTTTTACCTCCTATTAAAGAAATCTCTACCTACTCCAAAACCATGAAGTCATGTTTGTGTCTCTTAATTTTTATGTTTTACCTTTCACATTTATTTTTTTTAATAAATCTTTATTGTTCATATTTTTACAAATGTTCCTCATTTCCCCCCCCTCCATTGCTCCCTTTCACCAGATTCCCACCCCACCCGCTGTCCTTTCTCCACCCCCATTGTCCTCATCCATAGGTGCACAGTTTATGTTCAGTCTCTTGTCGCACCCCCCACTCCCCTTTTCCATGAGAATTTTCAGTCCACTCCCCTTCCATACCTCTGATTCTATTATATTCACCAGTCAATATTGTTCATCAGATTTTTTTAATTCCTTTGTTTTTTAGATTCACTTGTTGATATTTATGTATTTGTTGTTCATAATTTTTATCTTTATTTTCTTCCTCTTTCTAGAGAACCCCCTTCAGCAATTCATATAATTCTGGTTTGCCGGTGATGAACTCCTTTAGCTTTTTTTTTTATTTGTGAAGCTCTTTATCTGGCCTTTGATTCTGAGTGATAGCATTGCTGGGTAGAGTATTTTTGGCTGTAGGTTCTTGCTATTCATCACCTTGAATATTTCTTGCCATTCCCGTCTGGCCTGCATGGTTTCTGTTGAGAAATCAGCTGACTATGGTATGGGTGCTCTTTTATAGGTAACTCCTTGCTTTGCTGCTTTTAATATTCTCTCTTTGTCTTTTGCTCTTGGAATTTTAATTATGATGTGTCTAGGTGTGGTCCTCTTTGGATTCTTTTTGTTTGGGGTTCTGTGTGCTTCCTGGACTTGTAAGTCTAATTCTTTCATCAGGTGGGGGAAGTTTTCTGTCACTATTTCTTCCAGTATGTTTTCGGTATCTTACCTCTCCTGGAGTTTTCCCAACCTAACACTGAAGCACCTTGTGGGAATCACTCCAGGACCCCGGATAGTCAAGGCCAATGGGAATACAGAGGCTTTGTTATCGATATACCAGAATGAGCATGAGCCTAATTGGGTTGTCCAAGGACTCTGAGCATGGAAATCCTAATCAGGCCATGATACCACGAGCGGGTGCAAGGACACATGGTACACTGTGCCCTTCAGTAGCCAATATGATTGTTGTAACTATTGGCATGAAGCCTACTTTGTCTAAATAGTGTAAAAGGAGGTTACTGACCAGCTAGTAGCCTGGAGTGTGTGAAGACATCTGCTAGAGAGAACAGCTGGGCAGAGCAGAGCTAGAGAGAGCTCAGAGAAGCAGAGGTGATAGGCATAGAGAACGTAGCTCCTATGTGTGCTATATAGCTACATTTTCTATGCCTATCTAGATAGCTCAGTTGGAGCCAAGAGCTGGTACTGCTACTATGTAAAGCTAAGAGCTCACAGAGAGCTCAGCTATAGCTACCATGTTAACCAGCCAGTGAGGTGGGCAGAGGAGACAGGAGAAGCTGCTGAGCTAGAGAGCTCAGGTGCCACTACCGTGTAAGTCTAGAAGCAGCATAAGGCTGCTCAGATAACAACTGGGTACAAAGACTGATGCTGCTTTATGGGAAAGATATATATTTATCAGCCAGTGTCCAGCTGCCTGCCTTTATGGACTTTGCCGTGAGGACTGTTCTTGTCTGGTGGCTATGTGGCTTCATTCTTATTTACCCACAACCTCTCATGGCTTCTCTTTCTGCCCCGCCACCAAGAATTGATCTGTGTCTCTGATACTTGGTAATGGAGGAACTTGGACTAAGTTCCCAACAGTAGGCAGGATTCAAGAAAGAATCTGGCATAGTGGAATGGGAGAATTTAGAAGAATATACATGGACTCAAAGCCGTCAGACCAGCAGTGCTGAGCAGTACTCCTGCTGTCTCTGACACTCCTGCCCCAGAGTTTTTGCTCACTTCTCAAGTTGGGCTTATGCTGCCAACTTCTTATCCCTGATGAGAAGTAATCAGTTATTTGCATTTCTCATTTGAGTTTTGCAACAACTTTAGGGTGTGGGGCCCTTTTATAAAAAAGGAGAAACAGGTAGTAGGCAATTTACTGGAGATGTCAATCTCTTTCTTGGTAGAGTTGGGATTAGAACTTTTATTAGGAGGTGGATTTCTCTTTGTGCTCCATAAATGCTCACACCACCTAGATAAACATCTTTACCTGGAAGCTGTGCCTCCTAAATTTCTGGCTCAGGTATTAGAAAAGAGGACCATGAAATGCTACTTTTCTGAGTCCCGCTATGATCTCCCTTGAGTTGACACAGGGGCATGGAAAACATTTATGGCAAAGTGATCAGGTTCTGGGCTACCAGTCAAGGTAAAACTAACCATTCCCAATAGAATCAATGGGACAAACAAAGGGATCTAAGGTGTTGCTAAGGTTTACAAGTGGAAAGATAAGATTCCTGTTATTCGAGTTTGAGAAGGTGGAGACTGGAGTTTGATTTGTGCCTTTTTTTTTTTTTTTTTTTTTTTTTTTTTTTTTTTGCAAAGGTGGAGATTTATTGAAGAACAAGTACAGACTCCCTCATGGGGAGGAGGAAAGAATCTCACAGCATAGACTCCCACGTGGGGAGGGGGAAAGGGTCCCCTGATTTGTGACAGTTTAAAGTGTTTATAAAATATCCCAGTGGAGAATGTCTCATTCCGTTTGGAATTCAGGTTAGAGGTGTAGGGCTGCAGGTGGACATTTGAGTCTTAAGTGTATATATTGTATCTAAAGCGGCGAGACTGGTTGCGAGTATAGAGAGAACAATGATCAGAAGCTTGAAAAGTGAGTCCCAAGGCTCTCAAACAGTTAACAGTTGGGAACAGGTGCTCAACCATCAGTATCCATCCACCTGGGCATACTAACCAGCATGCCCGCCTAAGCGCAGAACTACATTTCCCAGAAGGCTCTGTGCTTCCGGGTTAATTAGCCAATGAGTCACGCGTGACTTAAAAAGGCGGAAGTGAAACGGAAGCCATTATTCTCGGGAGGCGTTAGCCGCTGGACACATAGGCTTGTAAAGAGCTCCTCTGCGATTTTCTCCAGTCCGTGGTGACCTTCCGCCTCCCTGCGGCCGACTGGACCATCCGTTTGCATTTCTCGGCCCTTCGGCGGCAGCTTCCGTGACCTCTGCTCCCCCCGATTTTACCCTCAGTAGGGTAAGCCCGGCTTTCCTCATTTAACCCTTTACTCTCGGCGTCTCTGAGCACCCAGAGGACTACAGGGCAAGGAGTTATGGGGGATAACGTGGGCCTGGGCCTGGGAAGCCAGGTAGCCGGGCCAGGAGGGTGTTTTAGTCCGTGTGGAGGCGCGAGGACTGAAATTTAGAACCATATTTAGGGACATATTTGGGCGCTGATGACTGATCAAAAAACAAACAGAAACCAAATAACTGACACACCTTGGGGTGGAGACCGAAAAGTCTGGCCCAGTGAGTTCAGGATATTATGGGAACTCGGGACCTTGAGGATGAATTACCTTTCTTTTGCTTTTGTGGTCAGTTTTCTTTGTGGTTAGTGTTGTCTTAATATCAACACAGGCACATTGTTTCTGGCAGCGTTTGTCTCTAAAGCTTTTTATACTCGAACTTTTGGTGTCCTTGTCTATTTTTATTTTATTAACTTTAGTGGTCGCGTTTGTAAATAGCCTATAACTAGATTTAAAAATTCGTTTGGGCATTGCTACTTAACTTGAGAGTTATTCCATTAATAGTTATTGTGATTACTAACACTTTGCATTGATTTTTTTACCATGTCATTTGGTTCCTTTTATTTGTCTTTCTATAGGACATATGTGCTAAAAAAAATGTATGAAAACGCATACTGGTACACACACAGTTAAAAGGACAGCAATAAAGCAAATCCACAAATCAGGCCAAGAAAATATTATGAAACCTCAGAAACCTGTGTGCTCCTGAATTGCATCCTCTTCTCCAAGATTTTCTTTATGGATTCTACTGTTTATAGGCATTTCCCCCCAAATACATTTCCTAATTTTAGTAATTTTTTTTAATGTACTCACACGCTAAAGTATTTTCATACACATCCTTTTCCCCATACTGATGCCACTATACATTCTAATTTAGAGATTTCTAAATATCTTGTAGGTTGAGCTTGTACACATACCCATTGTTTTTTAGGTACCTTGTGGCTTAAATTTTATTTTTTTCAGAAAGTTTTTATTGATTTTGAGAGAAACATCGACTTGTTTTTATGCATTCATTGGTTGTTTCTTTTTTCTTTTTAAAAAAATATATTTTATTGATTTTTTACAGAGAGAGATAGAGAGTTAGAGTTAGAAACATCGATGAGAGAGAATCATCAATTAGCTGCCTCTTGCACATTCCCTACTGGGGATGTGCCCGCAAACACGGTACATGCCCTTGACTGGAATCGAACCCTGTACCAAGAAAAACCATTTAGGTCTGAAGTTTTCTTTGGGCGCTAATGACTGGTCAAAAAACAAACAGAAGCTGTTGTTTCAGTTCCTTTAAGGGTCCTAGGGCATCTAAATTCTCTATTTTATTATGGTAAATAAAATTTCTTTTCATGTAAGGTTTAAATTGCATAGTCAAAGTTGTTAATAATGTGCCCATATTTTTAAATGCTTGCTACATCTGTAATGTTTTTCACACACATATTTATTATATTTTAGAATTTGGTTAATTTTGTTTTCTCAAAGAACTTTTGACTTGATTGAAGCACTTTGTAATATGTATTTTTTTTTTTTAAATTTCATAACTTTCTATTCTTTATAGTTTTCTTCTTTTTACTTTATTTGGGATGTTTCTAATTTCTTACATTGGTTATCTGTAACATCCCATAGAAGTGCAGTAATGTAGTATTAGATTTTAGATTTCAGTTCTAAATATTATGACTTCCTTGACCTGTGAATCACTTAGAATTTTCTCTTTTAATTTTCTTTTCTTTTTTTTAAATATATATATCTTATAGAGAGGAAGAGAGAGATATAGTTAGAAACATCTATGAGAGAGAATCATTGATCAGCTGCCTTTTGCACACCCCCTACTAGGGGATGTGCCCACAACCCAGGTACATGCCCTTGATCAGAATTGAACCCTGGACCATTCAGTCCCCAGGCCGAAGCTCTATCCACTGAGCCAAACCGGTTTCGGCATCTCTTTTAATTTTGAAACTTTCATTTCTATGACTTTGTTGTTGTCGTCGTCTTTAATCATAGTTTGCTTAACTTCATTGCACTGGTCAGACTGATGCCATTTACATTGTGCTTGTGTGGTTGGATTTTATAGTTAGGAAATACTGTTTCATCTTAATCAGACTATGTATAGTTATTGAATTATCTACCTGAACTGTATTAGTGAGAGTTCTGGTGGTGCTTTTTAATTTTTTTCATACTTTTGAGGCTGTGTCATAACATATGCAGTATACACAGCATTTTCTTCAGTTATACTTTTCACTGTAATATCTTGGTTTTCTCTGTGAGCTTTATTGCCTTAATCCATTTTGTCTTGTGTTAATATTTTTAAACCAGCTTAAAAAAAGTGTGTGCCTTACATATTTTTAAATTTTCATTCTTGTTATATCCCTATGTGTTAGATATCTCTTAGAAACAGCATATAACTGAATTATTTTTAATCCATTTTGAGAATATCTGCTTTAGTTGAAGTTTTTTAATATATTTCTTTTTTAGCTTTTTAATATATTTTTTATTGATTTCACCCTATCCAGGCCAGGGAGAGGGAGATATAATAGAAACATCAATGATAAAGGAAAATAATTGATCGGCTGCCTCCTGCACGCCCCCTATTGGGGAAGGAGCCTGCAACCTGGACAAGTGCCTTGAGCAGAAATCAAACCATCACCTCTCTGTTCATGGGAATCACTGAGCTGCACCCTCTGGGCTGAAGCATTTAGTCCATTAACATTTTATGTGTTAATATATTTGGTTGTTGAATTTGCCTTATCTTTTTCCATTTATTTTTTCTTGCTTCCTTTGATTTGAGTATTTTTTTATTCTACTTTTTTCTTTGAACATTTTGAATTTATTATACATATATATTTACTCTGAAGACATTGACCTTAGAAGGGAGAGTAGAAGATAACAGATTAGTTGTGGGAGGAATTTTTGTATAACTAGAGACCAAAGAGTAAGAAAAATTTCTTTTAACTTTTAAGTATAGAATTCAGGAAAATGCACAGATCTTAGGTAATCAGTTTGATTAATTTTTTTTTGACAGTTGTGTACATTGTGTATCCACTAACTAAAAAAAAAAATGCATATAGTTTTTCCTCAGTCTATTCAATACCATCTCATGTTCTCCATCAAGGCAACCACTTTTTTACTATGGACTTAAACAAGTTTTTTCATTGACTTAAATAAGTTTTGCCTATTCACGAACATCATGTGATTGGGATCAGAAAATTTCCTGTATCTGCCGAAACCGGTTTGGCTCAATGGATAGAGCGTCGGCTTGGGGACTGAGAGGTCCCGGGTTCTATTCCGGTCAAGGGCATGTACCTTAGTTGCAGGCATATCCTCGGTAGGAGGTGTGCAAGAGGCAGCTGATTGATGACTCTCTCTCATCGATGTTTCTAGCTTTCTATCTCTCTCTCTTCCTCTCTGTACAAAATCAATAAAAATATATTTAAAAAGAAAAAAAAAAGAAAATTTCTTGTATCTATCTTCTGTTTGTCAACATATGTTGTGTATCTTGGTAGTTTCTTTTTATTGCTGAGGAGTATTTCATTGTACATGTCACAGTTTTGTTTTCTCTTGTTGATAGATATTAATACTTTTTGGCTTTTATGAATCAGAATGTTTCTTGGGTAAATATCTAGATGTGGAATTACTTGGTCAAATAAGTCTACTATTTAAGAAACTGGCAAATTGTTTTCCAAAATGTTTGAACCATTGCACATATCCACCATCATTATATAAGAATTAGAGAGAGATAAAGAAACATCAGTTAGAGTGAATCATTGATTGGCTGTCTCCTGTATGCCTCCTACTGGAGATTGAGCCCACAACCTGGTCATTACCCTTGACTGGAATCAAACCCTGGACCCTTCCATCTGCAGGCCAAGACTTTTGCCAAGGAGCTTACTGCCTGTTTTCTTCTGGGACTTTTACGGTTTCCGGTCTTACATTCGAGTGTTTAGTCTGTTTTGAGTTGATTTTTGTGTACAGTGTAACATAATGGTCCAGTTCCATTCTTTAGCACTTGGCTGCCCAGTTTTCCCAGCAGCATTTTCTGACTCTCCTTTCCCATGGTATATTCTTGGCTACTTTGTCTTAAAAGTAGTTGGGCATGTATATGTGGATTTATTTCAGGGCTCTCAATTTTGTTTCATTGATCTATGTGTCTGTTTTTATGCCAGCTTATTCATTTTTAAAATAATGTTATTTGATGATTAAAATTTTTTAAATTCGGTATAGTTTAGCTTATTGCTTTCTTTAAATCTAGTTCTATTTTGTGTCTAGACTAAAATATTGTTAGTAACTCAAGGGTTATTAAAATAGGCTCTGGATTTTATTTTCTGGTGCTTAATTATTCTTAAACAGATTTTTTTTAATTCAAATTTTTGTGTATGTAGTGATATGATAAGTCAAAAGTTTCTTTTTTCCATTGAGTCTTTCAACACCATTTATTAAAAAGATAGCTGTCCCATTTTGCTCTGGTAAGTCAATAATCCTATATACTAGTAGGTAATATGGAAATCTACCAAACAGTGGAATGACCGGTTGCTATGACATGCACCAATCACTATGGGGCAGATGCTCAACACAGGGGCTGTCCCCTGGTGGTCAGTGTGCTCCCATAGGGGAAGCACCACTCAACCACAAGCCAGGTTGATGGCTGGCGAGCACAGTGGTGGTGGCAGGAGCCTTTTCTGCCTCTATGGCAGTGCTAAGTATGTCCAACTGCAGCTTAGGCCCGCTGCCAGCCTAAGCTGTCAGTTGGACATCCCCTGAGGACTCCTGGACTGGTAAAGGTTGCAGGCTGGGCTGAGTGTGCCCCCCTGCCAGTGCATGAATGTCACGCACTGAGTCTCTAGTGTTGTAATAACAATGTATGGTGTTAGATGGGTACTAGACTTACAATGGCGATTACTTCATAAGTTACATAAATGTTTAATCACAATGTTGTGCCCTGAAACTAATATGATATTACTGTATTAAGTATTATGTTATTAAGTACCATATAACAATATAATGTTATTAAATATTATATTATTGAATACTATATAATAATATAATATTTATATAATAAAGAGGTATTGTGCAAATTGACCATCACTCCAACACACACCATGGCTGCGCTAATTTGGTCAAAGATGGCCGTCCCCATGTGGACATAAGATGGCAGCCACAAGATGACTACCACAAGATGGCCAGCAGGGCAGGGCAGGGCAGTTGGGGGCATCCCAGCCAGCAGGAGAGGGCAGTTAGGGGAAATCAGACAGGCAGCGGAGCAGTTAGGGTCGATCAGGCTGTCAGGGGAGGGGTTAGGAGATGATCAGGCTGTCAGGCAAAAGCAGTTAAGAGCAATCAGGCAGGCAGACAGGCGAGCGGTTGGATTGTGAGAGGGATGTCTGACTGCCCATTTACCCATTTAGGCCCAATCCTGGGTAAGTCAGACATCCCTTGAGGGGTCCCAGATTGGAGAGAGCGCAGGCTGGGCTGAGGGACATGAGAAACACCCCTCCCTCCCCTCCGAACAAATTTTGTGCACTGGCCCTCTAGTGTCAAGTATAATTTTAAAATGATTATTTTAAAACAACCGCTTTCGCCAAAACTGGTTTGGCTCAGTGGATAGACTGTCGGCCTGCGGACTCAAGATCCCAGGTTCGATTCCGGTCAAGGGCCTGTACCTTGGTTGTGGGCACATCTCCAGTAGGGGGTGTGCAAGAAGCAGCTGATGGATGTTTCTCTCTCATCGATGTTTCTAACTCTCTATCCCTCTCTCTTCCTCTGTGTAAAAAAACCAATAAAAATATATTAAAAAAACAACAACAGCAGCTTTCCTACCCAACTGGTGTGGCTCAGTGGTTGAGTATTGACTTATTAACCCCGGAGGACTTGGTTCAATTCCTGGTTGGTCAAGGCACATGCTGGGTTGCTGGTTCAATCCCCATAGCGGGTGTGCAGGAGTCAACTGATCCATGATTCTCTCTCTTTTCACTGATGTTTCTCTCTCTCCCTCTCCCTTCCTTACTCTGAAATCAATAAAAACATATATATATATATATTTTTAAAAACTGCTCTTATCAAATTGCTTTGTTCTTTATCGAAAATTGACTCTGCATTTGTATTTCTATTTCTAACTATTCTGTCCCATAGACCTATTTATCTATACTTATCTCAATAACTCTTCATTACTGTGGTGAAGTTCATAGTATGAACCATTCAAGTTTGTTTTTCTTTTTTTTCTTTTTTTTTTAAATAAATTTTTATTGTTCATATTATTACAAATGTTCCTTTCCCCCCCCTTCTCACCCCACCCTCTGCCCTTTCCCCACCCCCCATTGTCCTCATCCATAGGTGCACAGTTTATGTTCAGTCTCTTCCCACATCCCCCTCTCCCCTTTTCCCCAAGAATAAACAGTTCACTCCCCTTTCATACCTCTGATTCTATTATATTCAACAGTTAATATTGTTCCTCAGATTTTTTTTTTTTTTTAGTTTCCTTGGTTTTTAGATTCACTTGTTGATAGTTACGTATTGGTTGTTCATAATTTTTATCTTTATTTACTTTCTCTTCTGAAAGAACCCCCTTCAGCAATTCATATAATTCTGGTTTGGTGGTGATGAACTCCTTTAGCTTTTTTTTATTAGTGAAGCTCTTTATTTGGCCTTTGATTCTGAGTGATAGCTTTGCTGGGTAGATTATTTTTGGCTGTAGGTTCTTGCTATTCATCACCTTGAATATTTCTTGCCATTCCTGTCTGGCCTGCATGGTTTCTGTTGAGAAATCAGCTGACAATCAAATAGGTGCTCCTTTATAGGTAACTACCTTCTTTGCTCTTGCTTCTTTTAATATTCTCTCTTTGTCTTTTGTTCTTGGAATCTTAATTATGATTTGTCTTGGTGTGGTCCTCTTTGGATTCCTTTTGTTTGGAGTTCTGTGCGCTTCCTGGACTTGTAAGTCTAATTCTTTCACCAGGTGGGGAAAGTTTTCTGTCACTATTTCTTTCAGTATGTTTTCGATATCTTGCTCTCTCTCATCTTCTGGGACCCCCATAATTCTGATGTTGGTTCGCTTGAAGTTGTCCCAGAGGTTTCTTACATTATCTTCAACTTTCTGGATTCTCTGGCCTTCTTGCGTCTGCGGAGGAGTGTCTTCTGGCTCTTTATGTTCCAAATCTTTGACTTGATTCTTGCGATCTTCCATTCTGTTTTTAGGACTCCATAAAATATTTTTTATTTCAGACAATGTATTCTTTATTTCTTGTTGATCTCTTATTATTTCTAGTTGATCCCTTTTCATATCCTCATAGGTCTTGTTTATTTTATCAGCCTTTTCTAGGAGATTCTTGAACAACCTTATAAGTGTGGTTTTGAACTCTATATCCAGTCGCTTTTTGTCCTCCATTTCTTTCGTTTGTGATCTATTTGGTTTAGGCATTTTCGCAGACAGCTTTCCTGATGGGGCGGGGTTTACAGCCTTGGCTTCCGTCAGCCCCGCCCTATGTGACTCCTGAGACTCAGGGTCCTTCAGTACTTGTTGGGAGCGCCTCTGAGAGAAAGGTGCCCTCGATTTTCGCCTGCTGCCAAACTGTCTATGCTCTCCCCCAATGAGTCCGGTATTGGGGTTCAGTTCAGTTGGTAGTGGGATTGGAGGTGGCGTTCAGAGCAGTCTGGAGCCCCTGTCTCCTTCCCGTCAGGGCAATCCCGGGGCACAGCCGGCCGGCCCTTCTCTGCGCGCAGTGTGCGTGCCTCCGGGACCTCCTTTCGCCGCTTCCCCGGAGTCCCGCCTTACAGCCCGGCTCCCTATGGATGAGCCTGGGTCCCTGGGGTCTGGCCTAGAATTGGGATTCAGAGCAGTTGGAGCTGGGCCCAGCACAGTTGGAGCTTTTCTCTCCTTCCTGCTTGGGACCGCCAGCCAGGCACTCGGCCTCCCTCCTCTCCGGCTCTGTCCTCTCCGTGCGCGCCGCGTGTCTCCGTACCTTGGGCTTTTACAGCTCCTCTGCGCTTCCTTCTGGTTTTCTCCTTGCTTCTTGTTGTAGAATTTCCAGTCAGTCGACTTTCCTGTAGTTCTGGGTAATGTCCATTTTATATTTTAATTGTATTTTGTTGAAATTGCTGTGTGCGGCTGCTGCTAGTTGCCTACCCGAGCAGCCATCTTGGATTCTCCTCAAGTTTGTTTTTCTTAATATTGTTCTGGCTCTTCTAGGTCCTTTGCATTTTAATACACATTTTAGATTTGGCTTGTCAATTTCTAGAAAAAAGCCTGTAGGGGGTTTTGCTAGTAACTGTGTTCTGTCTGCAGATGAATTAGGATAGTATGAATACTCTAATAATGGCTCTTGTAGTCCATGAAAGTGATATTCTTTCCCACTTATTTAGGTCTTTAACTTCTTTCATCAGTATTTCAGTTTTTTATTGTAAAGGCCATACACAGCTTTTGATTTATTACTAGATAATTTTGCTTTCTGCTATTATATATGGAATTGTTGTTTTGTTTCATTTTCTAGACCTTGCTGAGATCCATTTTTCCTGGTTGTGATTACTATGAAAGGAACATAAGATTATTTGCTGAAAGATGATAATGGTAAGACAGTTCTTTTTTTCTTTTTTTCTTTTTTTCTTTTCTTTTCTTTTTTTTTTTTTTTTTTTTTTTTTTCAGAAAAACTGTTGAGATTTTTACCTGGTTATGGGGATATGGAAGGTTGGATTGCCTGGTGTGCTTTCCTTTAATGTAGATGCTCCTTTAGAGTTAACGACTTAGTTTTGGAGGTGACCAGCTGTGTGTGGACTAATCTTCCCAACTAGAGGAGATAGATGGGTGGAATCATCCAGGGCTGGTCTTTTGGTCATTCAGGGTTATAACAGGACGAAGAATTAGACAGATTGTAGAAGTGATGGATTGTGATGAATCTTGGCTTGATAGGTGGAGCAGTGAGAATAGGAATTTGCTGTGAGGGAGCAAGATTGTAGAAGCATGAGTGGTTTGGAATCCTCTATAAAGTGAAAGAGTTCATGCAAGAAGATTGTTGTGCAGAAGTGCAAATTTCTGAATCACCGTGAGATAAAGTTGGCAACTAAAGATGACAAGACCTGTGCGTTGGCCTACAGTTATGTAGATGTGTAGTGAGGGGGCCAAATAGCATTGGAGATTGGAGCATGTAGTCCTAGATAGACCAACTCATGGGTACTTGAATGATCCTAAACCATGGCATGTATCAAAGTTGAAGAACAGAAGTCTGGGGCACAAATATTCAATGAGCGAGGGAGTTTAACAGAGTTGTACTTGCTGACACATACTTGGGGGTCAGGGTTGTCCACCGCATTGCCTGGAGGTTTTGTCTAAGCAAGGGAAAGGCTTAGGATAAGACAGAATTTGCTGCTCAAATGGAGAAATACTGGAAATCAGAAGTCAGATTGTCCTGTGAACTTCTAGTAATCTTTTTCTCATTTACTACAGATGCCTGCTCAGAGTCCCATAAGAACAAGAGAATAGCTTTCTGATACTAGTGCCCTGTTGTTCAGGCAAATTTATTATCATTCTCACAGGATGGCAGCTCTTGATCTCTCTCCCACATGTGGTAAGTTCTAGGGGTGAAGAATGCTCTCAGAATTCAAGCTTAAGTGGCCTCTGCCACTTCCCAAGGACAGAGGGAGGGTTGCCAGGAGAGGACGAATCACCTGGAAAGTAGTGGGAGCAAAGTCTTGGGAGAGCCCATGAGGTGACTGTCTGATTTAGGCAGGATCTTCGTGAGTTTGGGTGAGAGAGGGAGTGCGTATAATTGGTGTGAAAAGAAAAACAGTATGGGTAGTAACCCTGAACTACCTCATTTATTATTTTGATAAATCTGAACAAAGTTCTGTCTCTTAGAGATTTAATTTCTTCTCTCATAAATTGAGAAAACATACTGTTTTTGTTACAGGTATATTGGCCCACCTCCCTTTTTCCTGTCATTGAGTAGAGCAGGACTGCTCTGGATTCTTACTGAATGTGGTGGTGTGTGTGAATTTTGATTGGGAATGTGGCCTACACATTTATAGTTTAGTAGTGTGTGAGTGTTAAGCAAGCTTTTATTCTCATGGATTGTGCCTTCTCCAGCTGTATCCATTCAGGAACCTGCCCATATCCAGGAGTCAGAAATTCCTCTTCCTTCAAAAGACCATTCCTGTCACCAGAATGTGGATCTGTTTGCCTGTAATGGCCTGGAGTCTCATATGTCAACTAATGTTGTTTCCCAGGTACACGAATATCTCTGGGCCCCTGAACGGGGAGAGGCACTTCCTAGGACACCCCCAATATTATTACATAATGAAATTCTTTTAGATTTTTATTCTGGTTAGTTGATGCCTGATTAGTGATCAATAGAAAGAGCCAAATAATGTTTTAAGGCTGTCACGGTATCAAAGTTGTTAGGGAAAATGACTTACATACCAAATGTTTCTCTGATGATATAGTTTAAGTGCTCAGGCCAGGCTAAAAGTGGAGAGAGATTTTGATCCTATGTCAGAGATGCATTTGAAGCAGTGAGACAGGATAAGATCACTTCATAAGGAACACAGAACAGCTATTGACTGGCTTCTGGAATAAATTTTGAGACACCAGAACTCCAAACTGGAAATCCTATGATTTGAGTCTTTCATTGTTCAGTCTTCAGTCTCTACCATCTTTGAACTCAAGCTGTTTTCTCACTGACCCCAAATGTGGTGTTTCAGGACTCAGTGACTTTCCAGGATGTCGCAGTGGACTTTACTGAGAAGGAGTGGCCCTTGTTGGATTCTTCTCAGAGAAAACTATACAAAGATGTGATGCTGGAGAACTATAGCAACCTTGCCTCAGTGGGTAAGACTGGCATCATTTCTTCATTTATTAATCAAATAATTTTGTTTTAAGTAGTTGGCTGTAACCTAGGAGCAGTGTGGGGATTTGGAACACAATTGTTACCTGGTGCGTACCCTCTTGGTGTCTCCCATGGATATTGAAATCTGTTTATTGTATTGACTTTGGAGGTTGTCAAATGTGTTTGAACTTGGACATAGGCTTCTGAATTAAGAAATCTCTTAAAGGGCAAAACATATGGGTATTTTTGGTTTTCGTTTTTATGACAGCCTTTAACTGTGTCCCTTAGAAATCTTGTTACCATCATTTTACTGCTCCTAAGTCAGTCTTGTCCATCTTCAGAACTCTGACTTCAGAACACGTGTCCTCAGCACAATCCTTCTTCAACATGTATCTTTCCCTGTGAGTAGGGTGTCAGGTGGGGAAACCCAGCCTCATCTTCCACTTGGAGCAAGAAGAGGAGCTGAGAACAGAGGAGAGGGGACTTCCCCAAGGTACATGTCCCGGTAAGGACCTGTAATCATAAGTGCTTCTGAGTAGTGGCTATTCTCAGTGATTGGGGTGGAGGGAGATCCATTCAGAAATGTCACCCAGGGATATATAATATGCTCATTCTTTTCGCTGCTCCTCTATTCTTTGACAGATTCTTTGGTTTCACTATCCTTTCACCTTCAAATTTCACATGTCCACATTTTATCAGCAAATTTATCTTTTTCCAATTTGTTTCAGGTTGGGAGATTCCTTCTAAAACCAAGTGGTCTATTCTTATGGAAAATATTTTTGGGACTGAAACACCTAGTGGTGTGACAATGGTAAGAATTTTGGGGGGATAATTCTGGATCTTCAATATTAGGAGATGAGTGGGGCAGCTTAAGTTAGAAAAGGAGCTCAAGAACTAGGCCGGTGGCATTCCCCAAGAGGAAGCAGTGTTACAGACACTATTATTACCAAATACTAACCCAAAACTTTCCACTTAAGAGTTCTGATGAGTAAATATTTTTTTAGCTATGTCTTAGATAATTGAGTGTTAGAGTTCAATTCAGATTTAAATAGTTAAAGTCTATTTTGTAAAAAGCTTTGATATTGCTACACACATGGTACCTTAGGGCATACAAACATTCACCTATTCTACTTGATAGAACCCATAGGGGCAGGAGTAGTACTTTTAAATCTATAATCATAATGATGACATCTATAGTCATAATGATGAGCTTTAATTTATGTCAGTTTATGTGGGGATAATTCTTAGGAATGAAATGAATATTGGAAATGCCTTAGCACTCATCTTTAAATCAACAGGAAAGAACTCATCTTGGAGAGAGATCCACTGAATATGCTCACCTGTTTGAAGTTTTCAGTATGGGTGCTCATCTTACTCAGCAAATGGGAAGACACACTGGTAAGAGGCCCTACCACCGACGAGACTGTGGGGTAGTTTTCAATAACAGGCCACATCTAACACAACGTGGGAGCATTTACCATGGGAAAAAAATGCATGAATGTCATCAGTGTCAAAAAGTCTTCACCACAAGTGCTTCTCTTACACGGCACAGGAGAATACATACTGGGGAGAAACCCTATGAATGCAATGACTGTGGGAAGGCATTCAATGATCCCTCAGCCCTTAGGAGTCATGCAAGAACTCACCTCACAGAGAAGCCCTTTGATTGCAGTCAGTGTGGAAATGCATTCCGAACTCTCTCCTCCCTAAAGATACACATGAGAGTTCACACTGGGGAGAGACCTTACAAGTGTGATGAATGTGGGAAGTCATATGGCAGGAGCTGCCACCTCATTGCACACAAAAGAACACACACTGGAGAGAGACCCTATGAATGTCAAGACTGTGGGAAAGCTTTCCAGCATCCATCCCATCTCAAAGAACATGTCAGGAATCACACCGGAGAGAAACCCTATGAATGCACACAGTGTGGAAAAGCCTTTCGATGGAAATCTAACTTTAATTTGCACAAGAAGAACCACATGGTAGAGAAAACATATGAATGTAAAGAGTGCGGGAAATCCTTTGGTGATCTCTTATCACGGAGAAAACACATGCGAATTCATATTGTAAAGAAACCTGTTGAATGTAGACAGTGTGGGAAGACATTCAGAAACCAGTCCATCCTTAAGACACACATGAATTCTCACACTGGAGAGAAACCATACGGGTGTGATCTATGTGGGAAAGCCTTCAGCGCCAGCTCAAACCTAACAGCACACAGGAAAATACACACCCAAGAGAGACGCTATGAATGTGCTGCCTGTGGGAAAGTCTTTGGTGATTATTTATCCCGGAGAAGGCACATGAGCATTCATCTTGTAAAGAAACATGTTGAATGTAGACAGTGTGGGAAAGCCTTCAGAAACCAGTCAACTCTTAAGACACACATGAGAAGTCACACAGGAGAGAAGCCGTATGAGTGTGATCACTGTGGGAAAGCCTTCAGCATAGGCTCAAACCTTAATGTTCACAGGAGAATACACACTGGGGAGAAGCCCTATGAATGCTTGGCTTGTGGGAAAACCTTCAGTGATCATTCATCTCTTCGGAGTCATGTTAAAACTCACCAGGGAGAAAAACTCAGAGTGTCATCAGTGTGGAAGAGGCTCCAATGACACACCTTCTTTAAGAAACTGAGAGCTCAGACTGGAAGGAAACCTTGGAAGGAAACCTTGGAAGTTTCAGGAAGGCAGGAAAGCCTTTATTAACTCATCTTACTGAGCAAAAGGGAATACATGTAACTGGAAGAAAGCCAGTTTGTGCAATGACTGAAATGACGAGTTTTTTTTTCTCATCTCTGAGAATTAATGCTGGGGAAAAAATATGTCTCTATGTTGTGGAAAAGCCATCAGTGTACATTTAGGTCTTAACAAATGTGACAGCTTAGGAAGAGAAACCCTAGCCTGATACTTAATGTTGAAATTACTGTTGTACCACCTGGCACCTTCTGAGCTTACAAGAAAAGGAAGCACTCTAGGGAAACATGGAAAAGTCAGTAATGGGTCAGGAAACTACAGCCAGTTGTCTATTTATATATGGTTCTCAAGCTAAGAATAGATTACATTTTTAAGGAAGAAAAATATGTGACAGGGCCTGTGTGGCCCACAAAGTTTAGAATACTCATTATTTGTCTTTTTATAGAAAAAAAAAAAAAGCCAATTCCTGTTGCAGAGCCGTGGTAATTACCAGGAAGTGGATATGCTCCCCAGGAGGCATTCGGCAATCTCTGGAGACATTTTTGGTTGTTAAAACTGGGGAAAGCATTACCTTCATATAGTTGGAAGACATCAAGGATATTGCTAAATAGATTACAATGCAGAGGAGCCCCCAGAACAAAGATTTATATGCCCCAAAAGGTTAATATTGCCAAGGTTGAGAAACCTAGTCCTAGAAGAGCTCCTCGATTTTTATGAAACTTGAGTACTCTAGTACTCATGGTAGACGAGTTTATATTTAAAGCTTCAAAAATATAACCAATGTAATTAATTCAAGAAATGCAAGAACCCACATTGCAGGCAATCCCGTGTGGAAATAATTTCAGCCATAGCTCCCTCACTTTGCTTATGAGAATTCATTCACATCCCAAAGGAATTTTCTAGTGAGTGTGAAATTGCATTTGATGTATTTCATTGTGAAAATAGACACTAGCTCATAAATATTTAATTTTTAAGGTTGTGCTCTAAATTACCCTTACACACATCATAATATGTTTCTATGTAGTATTTTAATTATAATTTCATTCTTAAGAATGTGTTAACTTCCTTTTGATTGATTTACTTGACCAATAGACTGTCGAATCTTATGTACTGTGAACCATTGATATTTTTAATGTCTGATTATTTATTTAAATCAAATGCATTGAGATCAGACAATGATGTCTTTATCAGTTGAGTCCTTTGGGATATTCCAGCCAACAGTGGCAAATAACTTTTAGTTGCTCCCCTAATATCTTCCATGTCAAGAAAACTTCATTTTTGTCAGATTAGTAAGGTGTACAATTTTTAAAATCTCTTACAAGTTTCCTTACAATTCGTCCAGTCCATGATCTACAACCTTTCTATTATCAGATAAGCAGATGTTACTCTACGGGCTTTGAAAAGACTCCTGGAAAAAGGGCCATTCTTACCTGGATTCTTCTCCACTTGTATTTTACTTTTGTTCTTCCCCCCACTTCTCGCCTAGTAAGGAGATCCAGTTCCTAGTGTTAAAAGATCCATCTTGTGACCATGAGGATGCACAGGCTAAGAGGGATCCTGCAGAAAATTCACAAAGGGGCTTCTTTAGGGTCTATACTAGCCCTGAGTTTACTTCCAGACCTATTACATGAAAAAATAAAACTGATTATTGGTTTAAGCTGCTTTGGATATTCTTTCTTTTTTTCTTTTTCTTTTTTTTCCTATTAGTTTTTTTATTTGCAGAGGGAGGGTTCTGTGTCATCCAGCTTGATGCTGTTTAACCCATTCACCTGTGACAGAGACTGTGTGTGGCACACAAGTGAGTTTTTATAACTGCTACACATGTGGGTATAATCTGCTTATACTTTTTTTTTTTTTTTAATATACTTTATTGATTTTTTACAGAGTGGAAGGGAGAGAGATAAAGAGCCAGAAACGTCAATGAGAGAGAAACATCGACCAGCTGCCTCCTGCACATCCCCTGCGGGGATGTGCCGCAACCAATGTACATGCCCTTGATCGGAATCGAACCCGGGACCCCTCAGTCCACAGACCGACGCTCTACCACTGAGCCAAACCGGTTTCAGCGTCTGCTTATACTTTTAACTGTTGGATATGAACTTTTAACTTCTTGAAGCCAAGTTTTAAAATTGCATTTCATATCTTTGATCTATTTAAACATCTATTTTCCTTTCTTCTTGTATTAAAGAACTGTATTTGTTTTCACAGAAGTGCTAAGTGGACATCTACTTTATTCAGTTTCTTCTTAAGGTGAAGAAAACTCTTTGTACATGTCTAGAGAAATATAGTAGCTTTCTGTTCACACTTTGCAAGTAAAAAGGGTGGATTGATCCACTACTGACAATACTAAAAAAACCCAAAAAAGTGCTGAGAAGCAGGTGCCATCAATTCCTTTTGCACGTGGAGAATTTGAGGCAAGGAAGTTTAGGTGATTTGTTTGAGGCCAACCTGTTAGCAGGCAGTAATGCTTGTATTTAAACTCTGGTGCTGGATTCCAGTCTATATTACTATGTCAGGCCTTGTTCTATGCCCTAGGTCTGTAGTGAATCAAGATATTTGCCTTCAGTTGCTTACATTTTACTTGGGGTCGAGGCACCTGGTAAATGAGTAAATATCTCTCTGATGGTGGTCAGTGCATGGAGGAAAAATTAAGCATGTAATGATGAGAATGTGGGATTCAGTGGAGCTGTGGGGTGTGTAAGGAAAGCCTTTGTGCAAGGTGACATTTGCACAGAGATGTAAATGAGCTATAAGTGTGGGCTGTATTGTAATGTGGGGAGGAGCACCTTTAACAGCAGTTCAGAGACCATGAGAAATTTTGTGCTTGGGACAAAGAGTCCAGTGTGACCGGAGTGGATCACACTTGTGAGTTGCTAAAGATGATGAGGTCAGAGCTAGATCAGGGTCCTGATCATGGGGACATCCTGTAGGGTTAACTGGAAGGACTTGGCCGTCATTCTCAATTTGGAGGGCTTTGAACAGTGTCAAAGTGTCCAAATTATAATTTTAAAGGATCACAGTGGCTTCTGGGTTGATAGGCTAAATAGAGGGACAAGGTACAAACTGTCAGGCCATTGCAGAATTCAAGTCACATATAATGGTGGTCACATTAGTAGCGGTAGTGGTGGTTTGAGAGTGACATTAATGACAGTAGCCCTAATTTCATTTTCAGATTGTGATTCTTTCTATTAGTATACCACAAGTTATTTACCTCTTCTGCTGATGTAGTTAGAGTTAGTTACTGGACGTTTTTACTTTTCTCAGTTATGAGCAATGCTGCTTTAAGACATTTTGTCACATGTCTTCTGGAGTATTGGTGAGTTATTCCAGGAGTGTGAAATTGCTGAACTATAAGGTCTGTGCATGTTCTGTTTATTAGAGTGATACCAAAGTCATTTTTAAAGTGTATAATGATACTTTGTATATGTGTGGTAACATTTTAAAACAGGTTTTACTAAAATGCAGAAAAATACTTAATTCATACATATACAACAGCTAAATTATCACACGAACACATCCATATGATCAGGCCAGAAAAAGTACTACCAGCATTCCTGATACCCCTTCTTGCCTCTTTCAAATGACAAACCCTTCCCTACTCTCCATAGGTGACCAATATCCTGACTCACAATATGGCTTGGGGTTTTTGTTTCTTACCCCTATACAAGTGGAACCATACAGTATATGTTCTTTTGTATCTATCTTAATTTTCCCTAATGTTTTTGTGAAATTGATGCATATTGTTTTGAGTATCTCAAGCTAGTACATTTTATTGTGTTCCATTGTTTTGAATATACCACATTTTGTTTAAGCAGTTTGTGTTGATGGGCAGACATTTGACTTTTCAGCTTGGGACTGCTATGAATAATGCTGCTATGAGCATATTTTAATATTTCTGACAGTGCACAAGTGTATGTATTTCTCTTGGGTGTATACCCTGTACTGAAATTGCTGGTCATATGGGGTGCATATGTTCACTTTTCATAGATGATGCCAATTTTCCAAAGTAGTTGTACAAATTTGCTTTCTAAGAAGCTATCGATATTTTATTGAATTACCTGCCTTTTTCTTATTATGAACCCTATGGTTGGATATATTTTACAAATATTTTCTCCAACTTTGTGGCTTGTCTCTTCTATGTATTTTTTTAATGAAATGAATTAATGTTAATGTCATCTAATCTTTATGGACAGTGCTCTGATATTCCTGAGTATTTGCCTAACTCGAAGGCAAGAAGATATTCTACATTTTTTTCTACAAGTCCTATTGTTTCAATATGTACATTTATATCTACAGTTCACCTACAATTGATTTTTGGGTATTTTTATCTTTTCCACATTGACCCAGATAATTTATTTTTTAAAAACTTTATCTTTACCCAAAGGGTTTGAGATACCACCTTTGTCATATTCTGAGTTTTATGTGTTTTTACCCTAATTCTGAACTTTATATTTTTGCCACAGGGTTTAAATTATAAGAAGCTTTGTAATACGTTTTAATGTCTATGTGAACTGGTTTCCCCCTCACAGTTTTTCTTTTCCAGTGTTTCCCTAGGTATTCTTGCCCTTTTTTATATGCACTTTCCTATTGTCCGACTCCATAAAATTAGCCTGTTGGTACTTTTATTGGCATTGTCTTGAATTTATAAGTTCACTTGGAGAAAACTAATATCTCTATATTGTTAAGTCATCTTAACCAAGATCAGGGGATGTCTTTTCATTTAAGTCCATTCATGTTTGTCAGGAATGTTTTTAAAAAATCTATTTCAGTGTTTGTCAGGATGTTTAAAAATTTTCCTTGTACAGTTTTCCTTATAACAAATTTTTTGTTGTTTCCCTTAATATTTAATTCTTTATTTAAATGAGATTTCTCTATACCATTATGATTTCATAGTTTCTGTATATGAAAGCTACTGATTTTGTATCTTAATTTTGTAACTTGCTATTTGACTGAATTCTTTTACTTTTTAAGTTTTACTGCTTTTTTTTGAGTTTTCCAGGCATAATACTGTGTCATCTGTAAATTATGATAGCTTTATTTTTATTTGCCAATTCTTATGTCTCTGATTGTTTTTGTTTGCCTCATTGCATTAGTTAATACCTCTACTGCAGTGATAAGTAGTAGCAGAAGTAGTAGGCATTTTTACCTTGTTCTAGGGGTAAAGTCCCTTTTGATTTTCCACTGATTAAGATAATGTTTTAGAGTTATTTATTTTATCATATTTAAAAGGTACATTATATTCTTGGAAGTTTACCATGAATGGGTGGTGAATTTTGTCAGTTTTTGTGATTTATTAATACTAGTATATGATATTAATAAATTTCTCAGCATTCAAAAAGCCTTACATTCTGAATGACTTTCACTTGGTCATGGTATATTATTTTCTTAATGTGATTTGTTAGTATGTTAGTATTTCGTTTAGAATTTGTTGATTTTCATGAATGATAATTGGTCCATAGTTTTCTTTGTCTTTATCTGGTTTAGGTATTTGTATTATACTTGCTTCATAAGAAGATATAGTAATATTTCTTTTTTTCCAATGCTCTGGAATAGATTATACAGCATTAGTAGTCTGTGGTGTTTTAAGATTTGGTAGAACTCACTGTGAAATCATCCTGGTCATGTGCTTTTCTAGTGGGATATTTTCTTAGGAACTTTATGGACATTGTTCTGTTTTAAGCTTTCTAACTTGATGATGTCAATGTTAGTAATCTGTATTTTCCTAGGAAATTGCCTAATTCATCTAGTGTAGAAGTCAGCAAAATCATCTTACGATTTTAAAAATGTTTTCTGACTCTCTGTGTCATCACCTGTTTGTTGTTGTTGTTTTTGTATATTTGCCTTTTTTTTTTTTTCTGAATCAAATGAGTGGTTTATTTACTTTAAAAAAACGGAATTTTGACTCGTTAGATTGATTGCTTTTCTGTTTTCCTGTTAATTTCTTTTTCTTTTTCTTTTTTTTTTTTAATGTATTTTATTGATTTTTTACAGAGAGGAAGAGAGAGGGATAGAGAGTCAGAAACATCGATGAGAGAGAGAGACCAATCAGCTGCCTCCTGCACACCCCCCACTGGGGATGTGCCCGCAACCAAGGTACATGCCCTTGACCGGAATCGAACCTAGGACCCTTCAGTCCGCAGGCCAACGCTCTATCCACTGAGCCAAACCGGTCTCGGCTGTTAATTTCTTTTTTGTTTTTCCAAATAAAAAAACAAAAACAAACCCAAAATACCTTAATTCCAGCCTAACAGCACCGGGTTGCAATGTCTGGCGACAGATGAGGTATACTGCTGTGTGGCCACTCACACGTACAGCTCTAAGAAGGGTCCTGAGGGGAACTTACCTCCAGGGGGCTAAATGAAGGGGGAGAGGGGAGCCCCGATGAGGTATGGATGGGCATGGAAAAAAGTCACTACTTCTTGACAAAGGATATCTTTGCGGGGTAGTTCTGGGTGATCTTGAACCCCTGTAGGAAGTCTCAAAGGACCCCTGCGTGTACCCCGTTGTCAGACTCCATGAAGGCCATGTCCTGCTGCCCTGGACCAGCCAGACCTTGAAGATAGAGATCTGTTGAAAAACATGGACAGCATGAACTTGTTGGTCTTTGGCAGGTTGGTGAGGAGCAAGATGTGATTTAGTGGGTTTTTTTCTAAGAGG